GATACTGGACGCGATTAAGTAGTAGTTCAGTCCGTCACCCCTCCGTGTCACCCGCGTCCGAGAAAGCCAGCCACCACTGTGTCCTTGCGAGCTTCGAGTGGGATGACGAGCAAGCAAATCGACAAGGTGCATCCTTTCCTCCTCCCTAGCTCGACCCCTTCCTATCTTCACCAGATTTAATATTTGTGCCCCTTCATCTCTCCGTCAAGCAAGAGCCCATGGCGAGAGCTTGGATGGTGAGCAACTGGACAACCGCGTCACCTGCGCGACCCCATGGCGAGAGCTTCTTTGGTGAGAAGACCTGCAGATAGGTTTTTTTAATTCTTTTATTCATCTCTGATATTGCCGTGAATAATTTTGAATTGCAGCTCGCAATTGATGTCTTTTCTTTTCTCTTGTTTGATGCACACAAATCCGTCAATCTGCTCCTAAAGATGCATCAGAATTTTGAATTGCAGCTCACAATCGATGCTTGCTTGCTTTCCGTAGTATCATATTAGTCTATACATATTCTATAACTGCTGCCTAGTAGGTGCTCGATGATATTCCCTGCTGGTGCTCTGAACTGATCTCCTCATATTGGCTTCCTTTTTCTGCACTCATATTGGAGAACAGTTTTGAATGATAAGCAAGCAAATTTTCTATGCAGTTTTGATTTAAACTTTTTATGCTTTTTCTCTCATACGATGTGCAATGAATTTGTAAAAGAAATTTCTTCTTCTGATTTTTGGCTGCAGGAGATGCGGCATCATGGTCTTGGTGTGCGCTGATGGCTGAGGATCTCCTGGTGGCCATGGAATATGTATCTGCCGTAAGGCGAGTAGAAAACACTTTTCCCCTTCCTACTAGTTGTTTCTAGTGGTGGTATATGTCTGATGTGCACGCATGATTCAATGTCCGTGGACCTTGCTGGCTTGTTTCTTCCTATTACGGTTTCTATGCTTTGTTATTCAAAACTTTCTGTGATTTGTCATTACTGTTTTATTCTTTTCCTTGATATGATGCTTAATGAAATTGAAGTCTTAATTTTCGGTCCGCCCCGAGCAGTTCCCTGCACCCCGAGAGACCAGCAGCTGGATCCACCACGAGTTCGCTCCACCATGATCGATTTGTTCAGCGTCTGATGGAACAGAGTATGTAGCTGGCTATTTTTTTGGCGGTTTTGTTCTGTGTCCGCTATTTTTCGGAGGACATCAAAGCTGAGACTTTTGATGCATAGAAATAGACTTCTTTTCATCCAAGCTGAGACTTTTCTACGCTTATCCTTGATATAGTGTGTATTCAAATCATGGCTATCAAATGCATAAAAGCCAGGAACAATTTTTTATGCATATTAATCAACAAGCAAACTGATGTATTTTTACGACAATTGTTTTTCCATGATGTTTTTATCTGATTTTTGGTTGCAGCCTTGTATGAATAGGTGATTTGCAGAAATGAAGAGCTACCAACGCAGGCAAGCATGATTTCTGTGCAATTGATTTTTTTATTTCTATGCTTCTTGAGCCAACCGTGTAAGCAAGAACTCATTTAGAAGACTTCTATACATTGTTGGAGCACATTTTATATATTGTTGGATCACAATTATATACATTGTTGGAGCACATTTATATTTAATGTTGGAACACATTTCCATACATAGTCACGTGCACATATATATATGGATCTGCCGACGAAGGTGATCTCTCACGTTATTTTTCTATGCACAATTGTCATATGGCCACCACACGCAACCTGTTAAATCGATTCCCCGGCAGCATGCAAGACCTTGTGTGTTAAATTTTTTATGCTTTTTTATGACCGTGTGTCTATGTGATTTGAATACAAATTGTGGCATCCATCCCATCTCTCGAGTTCGAGTGGTTGGCGGCGACTATTTTGGCTGGCAACTGGAGGTACGAAAATATGGCGTCCATCCCATCTGCCGGTAGGTGGCGACGACCTTCTGACACTCCTCTTTGTGGTGGTGGCCGTGGCGCCCCTCTCCGTGGTGATCTCCACCCCCAATGGTGGAGCACGGCCCCACTAGGTGCTTGGGCCTTGAGATCTACTGCTTGGCGGTGATGCAAATCAGGATTTATGGATGGCAGCACACCATTGGTTCCTCGCTAGTCTCTACCACTGCCACGAATGATGACGCGGCCAGCGGCAGGTCAGTGACCGCCCCTATCCCTGCTAGGGTATTATTTCTTTTATGATTGACTGGTGGAAACCTGCTCGTATGCTCATGTAGCAAGATCGATGTGATTTTAACATGCTCATTTGCTCATGTAGCAAGACCGGCAGGAATGATCGCAACGGGCCTTAGTTTCTCTGTCCATGAATCAGGTATCTCATACGCACTGTTCTTCACTTTTATATTCTATCAAGGAGTTTTCGTTCTGAATGTAAGTTCAGTTCTAATTGATAATTCGAATTTGTGTATTTACCAACAGAAAAGGATGCGTATATTCAGATCTCATTTTATTACTTAACTTGAGTTCTTAGCTTTGTTTGTTACAGAATGCGATTTTTATAATAAGTACATAATTACTGTTTGAACATACAAGTATAGCAAGAAGGATCATGTGAGTGCAAATGATACAGGCTTTGCCTGGGAATGATGATGGACATTTGCCATTTTTTCTTTGTTTCTATTTTCTAGTAATGCCATTTTTTCTTTGTTTCTATTTTCTTTGTGGTGGCGTGAGGTTTTTTTAAATTTTTATTTGCTTTTCACCGCTGGTTTGCAAATTGTCAGTGATTATATCCATTTTCAATGCCCACTTTTACTGCAACCGACAGTGATGGGGCTTTGAGCTCGTGCGCAATGCACCGATACGACTTATAGAATACTGTAAGCACACACGTGAACCACGGGGTTTTTTATTTTACATTTTACATTTGCTTGGATTCTTTCCTGATTCATGCAGGTCTAGGTTATAATTAATTCGCCGTCAGGAAAAGCCATCGCCATACCTATTATACGTATAAGTATCGTCCCCACTCATGTGTTGCTCGATCGCTCTGTATAAATATCCATAGCAATACGGAGTAGAGTAAGCAGTGCATGCAAGTGCAAGCAGCGAGCCAGCTGCTGATCGACGAACATTATTACCGCAGGTTTGTAATGAATCCACCGGTGAAAATTATTTTCACTTTGACCTAATGGAGTCGGTAGTGATAATATTTTTCATGGTCAGGTTGTATCCCGAACCGACAATGAAAACCAGACTAGTTTTCGCTGTCGGTTCAAGACACAATCTGACGATAAAAAACGAAGAAAATATATAAGCAGACACCAAACCTATCCTTCTCTCTCTTGGTCACTGGCACTCCCTCCCGGCCACCACTCTCTCTTCCTCTCGGGCCCCTCTCCCTCCCTCCCGACCCCTCTCTCACCGATGTCGGCATGCATCGCGACAATCGGCCAGATGACGGGAGCCCACTCCCTGCCCCCTCTTCTAGCGCATCTAGGGGGGGGGGGGCCTCTCCCGGTGTGGTGGTGTCAAGGACTCGCTGCCCTTCTTCATGCGACAGACCTGGGCAACTAGGACAAGGATAGCCACCGCGTGGGCTAGGACGAGGATGAGGATGGCGCGGACGAGGATGAGGATGGCGCAGACGAGGATTTGTGGAAATTGTCATACAGTGTGTTCACTCTTGTAGGGCAAGGATAGCCACCGCGCGGGTGAGGACGAGGACGAGGATCGCGCGGGCGAGGACGGGGACGAGGATGTCAATTGTGGCGGCGCGAAGTTTTTAAAATTTTTTATTTGCTTTTCACCGCTGATTTGCAAATTGTCAGTGATTATATCCATTTTCACTGTCCACTTTCACCATAGTCCACAGCCGAGCAAAATCGACAGTGATGGGGTTTGAGACCTGACAGTAATGATATATCTATAATAGTGAAACTAAACCTAAAGGAACGACTCAATTATAAATGAGGGATGGGCTCCTCTCCTTCTTTCCCTCTGGCGGTTTCATTGGAGATAAAGGAGAGGCCTCTAGGCAACGACTACAAGTTGCCCTGATAGCAGCGATAGCTTGGAGCTCTTATTAGTGAGGTTTCTCGAGGGTTTGGAGACGATGATGAGAAGACCTCTTTGCACCAGAGAGAGAGAAAACGCAGCAGCACACACAGGATCCGAATATAATGCCTGATTATAAACATGAATCGTACATGCTCGGATGACAAATGAAGAGAGAGATGAAGTATAGTGTCGATATGGTTGGTGTGATAATTTGTGGAACGTGGTGGGAAACTGGTCTAAGAAACTTTTAGGAAACACTAGATCGGAAGAGAGAGAGAGAGAGAGAGAGAGACCCGCGTTATGTACTTCTTAATCTATAAATCAATTATCATATAAGCTTTGAGCTCGTGCAGAAATTCCTTTGGAATGGGGGTGCAATGCACCCATACAGGACTTATAGAATACTGTAAGCACACGTGAACCACACGAGGTTTTTATTTTACCAGTTGCTTGAATTCATTCCTGATTCATGCAGGTTAGGTTATAATTAAGTCGTCGTCAGCAAAGCCATATCGCCATACCTCTATTATTAGTAAGCATCGTCCCCACTCATGTGTTGTTGCTCGATCGCTCTGTATAAATATAGATAACAATAGAGAGAGTAGAGTAAGCAGTGCATGCATGCAAGTGCAAGCAGCGAGCCAGCTGCTGATCGACGAACTTGCTGCACGACACACACACGGTTTCGCTCACGAAATCAGTGGTATGGCTCCGAACACGGTTGCTGCAGCTCCTCCTGCGAGCCTGGAGGAGACCGGCGCTGGGCTGACGGTTGCCAGTTTGCCACCGCCGGCGCCTTCGAGCCCTGTGCGTGGGGCGACTTCTTCGTCGCCTACGCCCCACCCGTCTCACAAGTACGTGTGTGTGTGTGCGCGCGCGCGCGTGCTGTACCTATATATATTTCACTGGGCTTAATACACACAGGAGTCGGAGGAGCGGATGAGAGAGAGGGCGCACCAGCTCAAGGGAGAACTGCGCCGCCGGATGTTCGACGCTGGCGGCGAGGCTACGAGGAGCGAGGCTGACATGGTGACGCTAGTGGACACGCTCCAACGCCTCGGCATCGACAACCACTTCCGCCAGGAGGTTGACGCCGCGTTAAAACGCATCAACAGCTGCGAGAGTTTGGACGACGGCCTCCAGATCGTTGCTCTTCGCTTTCGTCTACTTAGGCAACATGGCGTCTGGGTCCCAGGTATACGTCGTCGTAATAATACGTATAAATGTGTCGTCTACAGATTCTCGTTCGTTCCATGCCTATATATGCAGCAAGCGTATATAACACACAAGTACGCTACCTTGACAGATGTATTCGACAGATTCAGAGATGAAAGGACCGGCAGTTTCATTGAAAGTCTGGCCAGTGATCCGAGGGGCTTTCTGAGCCTATACAACGCGGCTCACATGGCAACACCTGGCGAGCAGGCCCTCGACGAAGCCATCTCCTTCTCCAGGCGTCACCTTGCGTCCATGAAAGGCAGGCTCCCGTCGCCACTGGAAGAGCAAGTGTCCCGTGCCCTCGACATCCCTCTCGCACGCCTGCCAAAGCGGCTGGAGACGATGCACTACGTCGTAGAGTATGGCAAAGAAGAGGGGCACGACGCCGTGCTCTTGGAGCTCGCGAGGCTGGACTTTGACTTGCTCAGGTTTCTTCACCTCAGGGAGCTAAAGGACCTGTCATTGTAAGTGTTGACTACGTTTCCTATTATATAATCCTGCCTAATTATTTATGTTGATGATCAGTCAGTCAATTAACCTTTGATTCAATTTTTGCAGGTGGTGGAAGGATCTCTGTGGCAATGTGAAACTAAACTACGCCCGAGACCGGCTAGTGGAGAACTACTTCTGGACGTGTGTGGTGTTCCATGAGGAGGAATACTCTCGTGCGCGAATGCTGTTTGCCAAGACATTCGGGTTGCTGTCCTTGATGGATGACACGTACGATGTGTATGCTACATTAGAGGAATGCCATATACTCAACGATGCTATACAGAGGTACATATGTATATACTCCCCCAGCTCTAAATTATAAGACGTTTTGGCATTTCTGTTGCTTTAACCATGTATCTAGACATAATAATGTATATTCAGGTACATAGCAAAATCTATGTATCTAGAAAAGTTAAAACATATATTATGTATAATTTGAAATGGAGGGAGTACTATATATAACAGCACATCAACTCAAGCTGGAGGTTTATGCATGACCTGATTAGGTTCTATATATCTCATTACGTGTGTCTTGTCTGCGCGCAGATGGGATGAAACCACTGCTTCCATTCTTCCAGAGTACATGAAAATGTTCTACATCAATCTTGTGAGGAACTTTAAGAGTTTGAGCATAGTTTGCAGCCAAATGAGAAGTACCGCGTATCCTATGCAAAGCAAGCGGTAAGAAAAGTTATTATACATCGATCAATTAAAGTGTATATTTAAACGTATGGTGTACTTTGTTTTGTTCATATGTACGTTGGTACGAAGCACTAGTGATACATGAATATTAATTTGTTTAATTAATTTCTCGCAGTTTAAACTGTCATCAAAGTACTATCTGGACGAGGCCAAATGGTGCGGTGAGAAATACGCGCCGAGCTTCAAAGAGCACATGGAGGTGTCTGTCATGTCGTCAGGCTTCCCAACACTAGCCGTGGTGCTGCTTATGGGTGCAGGTGACATGGCGACCAGGGAGGCGTTCCAGTGGGAGATCGGCGTCCCGGACGTGGTCACCGCCAGTGGAGAGGTCGCTCGTTTCCTCAACGACATCGCTTCGTACAAGAAGGGGAAGAACAAGAAGGACGTGGCAAGCTCCGTGGAATGCTACGCCAAGGAGCATGCATGGCACGTCAGGGGAGGAGGCGGTGACCGCGATCGCGGGGATGGCGGAGCACGCGTGGAGGACGATTAACCGGTCGTGCATGGAGATGGATAGCGCGATGTTGCCGGCCGCGCAGCTGGCGGTGAACCTGACCAAGACGCTGGAGGTCATATACCTTGGCGGCAGAGATGCCTACACCTTTGCTGCCGACCTCAAGGATCTCGTCGTCTCCCTCTTTCTCAACGGCCCTACTGTTTGAACTTTTTTTTTGTTATTGTATCGATCTTGCACTATGTTGTTTTAGTTATTAGGCTAGTTCCAATGAGAGTTTTCTTCCTATTTAATGAGGCGATACATCAGTAAAAATGATGATGTTACGTAGAAATTATGAGGAAAGAGAGGAGATGAGTTTCATTTGGATGAAACCCAGCGTGTACTGTGTTACTAAAACACTTAAAACTGAATAAAACTTCAATGGGTGTACTGTTACCAAAACACTCAAAACTCTAGGTAGCTCCAACAGTATTAAAAAGATCTATAGCTTGTAGAATATTTTATCAATAAAAAGCAGAGAGAATGATAAGCTAGCTCTTCATAAAGAGTTAAGCTCACATACTTTCCTATGATCCATGTGTCTATATTTACACATTTTTCTATATTAGCATGTTAGCTTACTCTAATTTTGTTTTTTAAGTTCATATGAGCTAGCAAATTGACTATATTGTTGAGGATGCCATCATGTCCCCTTTGGCAACTGTATCACCGCTGATGTCAGGAGGGCTTTACATGGGATCAGAACTAATTGCAAAGGATAAAACACACGCCTTGCAGCTGATGCCAATTTATTAAAACTTGATGTATTTCTATAATTGATAATAACTCTCACATACAGAATATATCTTCAAATTTATTTGAGTAATTGTTTTACTTGAAATGAGATCTACAAAACAAGACCCATTTTAATATATTTTTGAAATGTTTTTATTTGACCATCAACTTGTGTTGAATGTATAACCTATGGACAAACCATGCTTGTAGCCATTTACAAATCATGACTTGTTAAAGGACCGAGAAAGACGACCAGAGAAGGGATGGAGTGGGGGGTGGTGTTGGTTTGAATGAGAGCCAATCAAAATTTCTTCCGAAATGGCCGTTGTCCCAAACAACACTCCAAAACATGAAATCACACAAGAGTGATGCCCTCGAGCCAACTGGTGTTTGAATGTTCTCGGTGATGACCAGAGAATACAGTGGGACACTCACGTCAGTGGAAAACCAAGCGCAACACCAAAACTCCCCGAAACCCGAAAGTGAAGCTCTCAACTTCAACCAAAATGAAGAAAGTGCGCAAACCAAAATCACCTAAACCATCTAGTGGTTTGATGACTTGGAAAAACTTTCTGGGCACCTTAGAAACCCCACGGAAGAGATGGATCGGAGAAACGAGACCAGAAGCTCAAAATACACTGAAAACATGAACCTCAGTGGAAAACCCGGCTAGGTCGGTTATGTAACACGGCTAGGCCGCCTCTACAACACGAACTGGCCGGCTTTGCCTGCCAACAACCCGAAATCTTCCTCCCAAAAGTGGAAATCGACCCAAATCAAGTTTGATTGACTCCACATTTGGTACAGAGGTAGAAGAAGATGTCACGAAGATATTCCTAGAAGATCAAGCCCAAAAGATCAAGGGAACTCTGAGGATCTAGAAATCCATGAACCGAGCTAGGGTTTTCTCAACTTTGCTAAAAAATCCCACCAAATTGTGCTCGTGAGGAATCTGACCAAATGGGTTGGTAGATATGTTCTCTAGCCATCCAATCGGTCTCAAATCTCCAGAAAAACGAAATCACCCAAAACGCAAGAGAAGGGAGTTCGGGAGAGGAAAAACCTAAACGATTCGAGAACACAAAGCAAGAACTCGGATATACGAGGAATGGTAGCTTTATTCCTCCACCAACAAGATCTAGTTCTTACATAAGAAAGATTAACACATCAGAGGTCTGATTCTTTGCACTGTGGATCTCTACCAGTACAAGCTTAGACTTAAACATGGAAACTATAAGCCTTAAGCTCTCAAAACTCGGCAGTGGTAATTTCATATCACTGTTGGGTCAAGCCATGAACCGATAATGATAACCTTAGCCGATAGTGATATCACACTTATTATTTCTGGTTTGTGTCTTGATTCGATAGTGATAGCCTTCACTACTGGGTGCCGGGTGAATAACTTCTCCGGAATTTTCTGAATCATATGGGCTTATGAACCAACGGTAAAAGGCAACATACCCGATAGTGATGGTCTGGCAACCTGTTTGGTGTAGTGCTTAATGATCACGTTTAACACATGAGGTGTTATAGTACAGGTATAAGAGAGAGTGAAGGACAACGAATACATTCTGATTTGTACTTTAATAATTGGATATAAATATAGTTATATATATTTATAAACGATAATGTTGTGGCTAGGAAGTCCGTTTCGTTTGGACGCGTGTTGGTGGGCCTCGACGCTAGAACGGCCCAACAGGCAACACTGCCATCCGCACGGAAATAAAAATAAAAAATCACTGCTCGCACCTTCTTCTCGAATTGCCGTTGTTTCTCCATCCATTCTCGAACCAAGTCTCCGTGCCCGCATCACCGCGGCTTGCTCCACCGCAACCGCGCTACCGCCGCCTGCTTTCCTGTCTCCCCACTGCCACTGATCATCACTTGCCGCCGAGTTCTACGAGCTGACACGGCGTGGTCCACAGTGACTGCTTGACTGCTCCAGCGTGGTGTTGTTCACCACACCCAGCCGCTTGCCTGCCGCCATCCTCCCTTTCCACTGCACCCGAACGCCATTTACTGGCTACCGCTGTTCCCCACTAGGTTGGCCATGGCTGCCGGCGGCGCCATGTGTTTGTTTCAACTGTGTTTCAGAAGTTATTTTCAAGTGTTTCATCTGTATGTTGCAATGGCTACATGCGTATGTTGCAAGTATATGTTTCAAACATTTCAATTGTTTGAGACGTATGTTTCACGCGTTTCATCTGTATATTTAATGTGTTTCATCTGTATGTTTCATGTGTTTCATTTGATGTTGCTAAAGGATCTAATGTTGCATATGTTGCAATGGCTACACACGTATGTTTCAAGTGTATGTCCCACATGTTTCATCTATTTTAGATGTATGTTGCAAATGTATGTTCCAAATGTTTCAAACGCATGTCTTATGTGTTTCGTCTAGATGTTGCAATGATTATACAAGTATGTTTCAATAGTAAACTGCATATGTTGCAACGGTCGGACGGATGTTGCAAAGGAGATGAGACATTAGGACTAGGGAAGGGGAACGGCCGAGGCAGAGCGCGGTGGAGGACGGGGGCACGGCAGCGATGGCGCCGCATCGAGGGGAGGAGCGCGGTGTGGCGGGGGAAGGAGCGCGGCGGGCTTGACGCCGGGGGCGCAACCGGGATGGGGATCGTGTTACGGACGGCGGGGGTGCAACCAGGATAGGGATCAAGTCACGGATGGTCGAACGCGGTCACTGGCGTGGGATGCGTCGTGGGGTGGCCGGATGCGATTTCGTCGTTGGCAGGGGATCTGATGCAAGCGCAGGGGTGTGTCCGATGCGAGGCGGTTGTAGGTGTCCGAACGCGGGCCTGGGCCCAACGTCTGGGCGCTAGGCCTTCCCATTTATAAATGGCCACGGTGCAAAATCAAAATGCAAGACAACCAAATACTACTGGAAGGTATAAGGCTATGCTAAATTGGATATCCATTAATGCTAGACCCTTATGCAGGCTATCACAACCAACGAGACTTACAGATTTTTAGGAGCACAAAAACATACAGTCGAGTAGTCGACATCATACTTCCAGAGCAGATGCAGATTGCAGCGTGCAGACAAGCGTGCATGTGAGTGGCTGAGTCATGGACATGGCCCATCGTACAAGTGAGCAGGGAGCTTGGGCTCAGGTACGGCCTCAAGCGGGACCATTCGCGGCATGGACAGCCCGAATTTCTCCTCCATGCTCAGGTCGTCCACACCCACGCCGTCGGGGAGCCTCCATGCAAAGGCTTGAAGAAGGTTTGCTAGCATCAGCTGCACCATCTTCATCCCGAGGCCGAGGCCCGGGCACATCCGGCGGCCGGACCCAAACGGCAGGAACTCCAAGTCGTGGCCCTTCACGTCCACTCCGCTCCCGACGAAGCGCTCCGGCCGGAACTCCTCCGAGGCGTCCCCCCACAGAGCAGGGTCGCGGGCAATGGCCCAGACGTTAACATAGCCACGGAGAGCTAAGGTAATATTTTAAAAAAAATAAAGTTCGTGAAATTAAATAACAATACTGTAAAATTAAATATCGATATTTAATCTAAAAAGTAAAGTTCGTGAAATTAACATAGCCACGGAGAGCTAAGGTAATATTTTATATCGGCAGCAACAAATCTCCAATTCCATTTCTTTCGTACGCCAATAAATCCACGAATAAGTTCCGCCGCATCTCCATACCATCCCGTACACAGGTTCGAGTATATATATAAATATTAGTGCCTGTCACGTGGGTAATACTGTTTAGCTTGAAAAATCTCTCACAAAATCTTAAAACATATGTATAAATGTGTTGTACTACATTTTAAAAAAAAGATACCGCGAGCTTGATGTTCGGAGCAACAATATGGTCTTGGTTGTCTTCGTAAACAGTTGAACACATGGACCAATCCATTATAAATTTAAGCAGGGGTCACACAATGGCTCATGAACGAGCAAATTCTATGAGCAAGCAATCATAGCTTGTCGTCTGATCTGTGGCCCGTCAGAGAGATTAACGCTCATAACAATGCCTAAATAAAGGGATTACAAATTACATCCACCAAGGGTCATATGCAAATAGACAAATTACATCCGCAAGGTTCATAGCTCCAACAACTTAGAAAATAAAAGACAGAATTGAACATTGAATTGAACATTGGATGGTGCCGGCCGGGATATCGTAGGCGCCCACGGAGGTGTCCTCGCGGGACAGCCGGGGCGCGAGCAGCGGCGCGACCGGGTGCACGCGCAAGGTCTCCTTCACCACAGCATCCAGGTACGGGAGGCGCGGGATGTCCTCCTCCGTGACCAGCCTGCCACCGCCGACGACACGGTCCAGCTCGCCCGTGGCCTTGGCCATGGCCTCGGGATTCCTTAGAAGCTCCGAGAGAGCCCACTCGGTGGCGACCGCTGAGGTATCCGCGCCAGCGGCGATGATGTCCTGCCGGCATTCACGTGCGTCGATCGATCATCTCTCTGTGACATATATATACCAGCAGATGGAGTGAAAGAAAGTGAAGTCTTTACCAGAATGAATGCCTTGATGCCATCCCGCTCGATGGGAGCCTCCAGGTTGTACAGTAATGGACTGAGGTGTTGGCTGACTTGCATCTATGTCTGTTGGTGGCAGCAGCATCATCCCTTGCTAGATTGGAAAGCTAATGTATAAACAGAGAGAAAATTATTTGACTATCCAATACCAACTTATATATACACTTGAAAAATTGTTATATTTAGAATACTACGGTAGAGATGAAGAGTAAATGACTGAATTTTATATACCTTCAGACAAGATAGACTCGGCATGGCAATGGCAACCAATCTTCATATTTGCATTAATCTTCATAAACATGTTAATCAACCTTGCTCCTATTGGCCTTGCTATAGGACCTAATAACATAAAACTTGGAATGAATGGAGTAGATAAGAAGCACTTACTTGAACTATGTGTACCTACGTACAAATAACAGAAGATGGATAAGAAGATTGGATACTACATCTCCAAATAAATAAATGGCACGCAGCAACACTATTGATTAGATGTGCTTCACACTGTCAATGGTAAGCAAAGGAAAAGGGTAGAACATATAATTGAGATAATTATCACGCACATGTGCAAAATCATCTAGTAAATTTTAATATTGCAGGTACACTATTAACTACCTCCATCAACTAGTAAATTATAGTATAAATACCTGTGTTTATTTGTCATTCCTCAGTCTCTGGATCTTCTTGTTAGCCTTAACCCATTTACTTATCTGTAACATAAAACACAATGGCAAGTGAGTGCAATTGATAACTTTATTTGTACTATAACGTTAATTGTTTACAGAACAGTGCAATTGACAACTTGCTCATACATGTAGGCCACAGACAATTTGAAGATGCCCTTGTATCATTCAAAGACTTGTTATACATACTGCATCCTGTACTATCAAAAATCCAAAGTAGCCGAGCTTCATTACATAACAATGCATCAGTTATCATGATAGCCTCACAAACAAAATGGTGCACCTCACAAATGCAGTCTTAATGTTTACCCAAAATGCATCATCCATCTAGTATATCTTTAGATCAAATTAACTGGACAACTACAGCATTTCATCCAAGCAATACAATTGATCCAGAGCTAATGGCTTGTATTGATAATTTATACCAAGAAAATGCAAACTTTCATGTTAATGAGAAAATAAGAATTTTGCCCTTATGGGGAGTGGGCTTCGCCCAAATGCCATCAAGTTTGTGGGCTTCGCTGAAATGCCCTTATGAAACGAGTCCAACACATTATAATGCCATTTTGAGATTTAAGTCCACTTTTAATATTTTTCACCCAAATTTTAGCCTGAACTGACCATTTTGCCCCTGAGCTCATTGATCCCTGCCCTGCGCTCTCATCTCTCCCCATCTCGTTCTCTCGCTCGCGTGAAAGGTAGAACGCCACCGCCCCAGGCCACCCCCAACCCCCACCCCCGCGCCGCGCCCTCGGGCCGAGCCTCGCCGCCGCCATCCGCCCCCAAGACGGCTCCCTGCCCCAGGAGAAGGCGGCCCAAACAAGCCGCCCGTCTGCGCCAAGCTGCCGCCGCCGCAACTCCAGGCGGGCGCCGTCGCCGCCCCGACGCGTCTACGCTAGCCCACCGGCCCCGCCACGAGCAGGTCCCCGCTCTCCCCGTCGCTGGATCTGCGGCCGCTGCTCCTGCCCGTCCGGGTGCTCTTCCCTAGGCGAAGGCGCACACGCCATGCTATGGGTGAGGGTTCGTCTAGTTCGTCGTTCATCCCAACAGCTGCCGTTTCTCTGTATCCACTTGGCCCTAGTGGGATCCCCCTGATTCCATGCCCAGAATGTGGTAATAAAGTAGTGGAATGCAAATCCTGGAAGAACAACGACATAATTTTCTTCAAATGCGTAAACTACAATGAATTTGTGAGTATATATTGCTCTGTTGTTTATTGTCATATACAACTGGATGAACTAGGTACTGTGTCAAGGTTTGGATAAATAAACTGTGTTATGTATTGTCATTTCCACTGGCAGTGAAGAAATGTCCATTCTTTAGGTGGTTGGAAGAGTACAAGAAAGTAGTCGCAAAGAAGCTTAAAGAATATTTGCTAGCTGCAGTGCCATTAGAAGGTCATGGTGAAACTAAATGTCAAGAAGAAATGAAGCTTAATAGCAGGATTTTTGATGAAGATCGGATCTATCTCAAGATGGACAAGCTTATCGATCTGGTCCAGCTGTTGGTGGTGCTCTGTTTAGTCATGACTGTCATAGTTCTTTTAGGTGTGGTAGTGCTTATTAGCAAGTGAAGCAAGATTGTGTTCTAGAACTGTGTTATATCAGTACCGGTGGTGGTCTGTTTAGTAACTGAAGTGTAGAAAAGTCATGGAATGAAGATGTTTTCATGGTTTTGTGCAGGTGCTTACAACGAGACTTTTGGACAGAATTTTGCTTGTGATTGATGAATTTTCTTTATTGTTTGATTGTAATTTTATATCCTCCCTTGCCCTTGAATCTGAGGCTGCCATGTGTAAATGGGGTTGGATGTACGGCCAGCTCTATTTCTATGAATTTTTTTGGAGCTGGTCGCCTGGCTCCAGAAATTTTTAGAGCTGGAGGTGGAGTTGGTCACGAAGCTACATGTGTAGATCAATGGCCAGCCTTTTTCTGATATTGCACAGTGCTCCCCCACTTTAGTGCTGCCTCCACCACCTTGCCTGGATGCTTTGGCGAGATGGGGGCCTGGTAAACTGCAGGTCCATTGTCTGGTAGGGAGATCCGAGCTTTTTAGTGATAAATGGCTATTTTGCAATTTGGACTTTACAGGTCTCTTTGGCTCATTGCCTTGAACTCAACTATCTTTCTGGCTGTTCTTTTTTGGAGTTGGATAGCTTTTCTGCATATTTGTCTGTTGGGATGGCATTGACAAGTATGCCTGGTCATCCCTCTGTCTTCTCCGTCTGCAGCTTCAACACTATATTCCATCCATTTTATACCCTTGTCTATCCTCAGAGATACGAGCAATCAGATTTAGATATGAACGCAATGCAAAACCTTCTAGCTAACATTCTAGAATTTGGACAGAATTTCAATTGAATTTGGACACAATTTGGACACAATTTCATGATCACAATAACATTCCAGAAATATAGTAGATTTCATAAAGGTTCACACAATACATAGGATAAGGTCGAGATACAATTTCAGCATCGAGATACATATCCACATACATAGGCATTACAATAGAGTTTTTCAAATGCCAGCTCATACATAGGCATCACAATAGAGCTTTTCAAATTCACATCTCAGTTCGTCTTCAACTTCCTTGAATCAACTTCTTTGCTATTCCCTTCTTTGGTTTTGGTGAAGTTGTAGCCTGCTTGTTTGATGATAAATGATTTACCAATGTACTTGGCCCTTCTCCAAATAGTACAACAAGTTGACTGCAACATGAAAGAAATGTAATGGACGGGAGCATTTTCATGAAAGAATTATAATGGGTTCATGAAAGAATCGTAGTACCTTCTAGTCAACCTTTCTGGACTTGTTGACAAAATATTGGCCTTAGCTGTGGCAACATTTTCAGCATGTACAGGAGTATTTTCAGCATGGACGACAACATTTTGAGCCTGTACAGGAGGATTTTCAGCAGCATTTTCTGGCTAGACAACAGCATTTTTAGCATGGACAGCAGCATTTTCAGACTGGACAGGAGTTTTTTCAGCAGCTTTTTTAGTTTTCTTGTTACCATTCTTCCCATACTTGGTTGTATTTGTAACACCCCTGGTGTTACGAACTCGTTTAGCACCGCGATTAGACCTAAGAAGAGTTACCGCAATGATTTTCTCGGATTTTAAAATTTAAAATATTGGAGCTTATGTTTAAAATGCCAGTTGTGGCGAACTATATTGAGCAAAGTAATTACATAGTGCTTAAATATTTTGTCTCTATAAGTCAGTGCGAAGCATGAACTTCTGCGTAAAATAATTATTGGTGGAGGTTAATCGGGTTGCCTTGCCGGCTACGTTGTGCCAGTCCGCGTTATCCCTGCGTTAATGAAAGTTGGCCGAACCCCCGACGTGTCTATTGTCTGTGCCACTGTCTTTCTCTGTCTCAATGCCAGTTTGGTCGCTTCATCCCTGCAGCACCATCACGTCCTCTGCTCGTCCTTGCCTTGCCTCTCTTTGCTGCTACAATGTATTGCCTTGCTTGTTTGCTGCTCGCATCGTCCCATCGCGCTGCCACGTTGTCGGAGCATGCCGCGTGGTCCCTACATACTGGAAGTTGGCCGATCCTCGTGCTGTTGTCCCCTTCCTTTTCTATTTCTGCTGCCGACCCCAGCTCCTGTCCGTCAGTCGCTCCTTGTTTCCCTCGCCTTCCTCTGCTTGCCCGGTGCCGGCTCATCCCCTCTCTCCCTCGCGAGCACGCGCGCGAGCCCCATGGCCGCGCTGGACCCCAGCCCTGCCTCTCCCAGGCGCCAATGCCTCCCCGCGCGTGGCTCCTGCTTTGCCTTGCCTCCTCTCCTCCGCGTGCAGCACCAAACGCACTCCTTTTTCCCGTCACCGTGGCCATCACCGGGCCGTGGAAGCCGCCATTGCACCCTGCTGCTCCCACCTCCTGCGCGCACGAACCGCCACGGCGTTGCCCCTTCCGTGCGCCGCCTCCGCTGTCCACGCGCTGCGACTGTGCCGACGCTCCATCGTCCATGGCCGCACCGCCCCGTCCCTGTTGCTGATGCCACTGTGTCTCCCAACCTTGCTCCCCGCGCTGCTCCACCCCGCCAACACAGCGCCTCGCTGGTCCGTCCACGCCGGGCCGCCCTGCTTCTAACACGCCGCAGGGTTCCATCTCCACGCTGCCCCGCG